TCCTCTTTTATGCCTTGCTTCCTTTGCTCTTGGTGCACAAGCCATCCAAAGGATACTTTCCTGCATCACCCTTTATCATTGCAGTGATATCACGCGTATTGGCGAATCAGCAACATTCATGCTAAAATCCCATCAGAAGCAAGCAATAAAGAAAAAACATTTAATGCTTTCTCCTGCTTTTTCTCATCTTTCCTTATAAGCATAGCCATCGTTTCACTCCTATATTTAAATGCTGATACATTATGGAATCCACTGCATTTATCTGAGAAATGTTCTGCTTGTAGTATCTATTAAAAACATGGAAACATGGATTACTGGCTGTAACTCAGATATTGCCATGAAAATGTTCTGCTTGTAGTATCTATTAAAAACGTACTGCAACATGGAAACACGGATTACTGGCTGTAACTCAGATATTGCCATGGTTGTTCTCGCTCAACAGAAAACGCAGCAGTCACCTATGCAATAGGTTAGAGATTTTAAGTTTCAGGATCACAGAGACTTGGGAAGCAAGTGCTCCATTTTACAGGGTGTATTAAACTCACGGTTTAGTGCCTTTTTAACTTTCAGTCTTTTGTGACTAGCCTAACACCTTCAATAAAATTAATTTTCCATTTCTTAAATGAAGGCAGGATCATGAACCTCTGCTACTGCTTGACTGAAGAGAAAGACTGAGAAAAGCCTGAAGAAGGAAAGAGGTGGCTGTCTCCTTTTGATGGCCTAAAATCAAATGAAAAACAACTGTCACTCAACCCTTCATTCAAATCTTTGCTTCAACAGGTTTACATGAGTCTCCCTACTGAGCCGAGTAACAATACTAAAGGCTTACTTTCTACAGGTTATTGCTTAGACCTATGAGATCTGCAAACAGAAGACAACCTCTACTATTCAAAATTCTTTAAAATGGGCCTAGAACACAGCTACGAAGAGTTAAATCAACAGATCGCGATCACAAATTGATGGTTATCACCTTCATCAGACACATGAACTCTGCTGCAGTTCTGATGACTCTACTGACAGTAATCTTGTAAAAGCATACTACTATAGTAGGAGTCCGAAAACACCTGCACATGAACTCAAGCGTACCAAACAAGACATTCACAGTGACTCTAGCTGAACACGACTTTGTTCTGGTGATGGAGAAAGGAGACCAGCACCTTGATCAACAAAATGCCCAATACCTCAATGAAACCAAAACTTCTCTCCAGTCGTCAGGTTTGCAAAAGAGATGCAAGCTTTCAGTTCAGAAAGACACAAAAAATAAGAGCCTAAACTGAGAGGAGTCAGATCCTATGTAAAAACTTTTCCAGACTTTGAAGTTGTACACATCAGGGGTTTAGCTGGTGTGTGTCATTTACTTTTTTACTCATTTTCTAAGAGAGCCCGTATTCTTTACATTAGGAACAAGCACTATAAAAAGTACAAACAATCCACTAAAACAACAGCCAGAGTTCTTCTCCCTTCCCAGCTCCCAGATCCACAAGTATTGTTCCCCTTTAACAAATTTGCTTTACTGCAAATTAATCTTCCTTGAAAATTTAAGTGAGGCTTTTAAAGTGTTCCTTAAAGCTTTCCAGCTATAGTGCATTTTACAGTGTTTTTCTTATAATGTTGTTTTAGTGTAATGCTGTTTTATTTAGAAAGAAAATGACATGTAAATCAACAAACTTTCCATAATTGTGCATTAAAACCAAAACCAAACCAAACTAAAAAACCTACAGTCAGTACTTGCCTCAATATTTTTTAAAGGCAAGATTTTGGGGGTTCAGCATTGGCAGCACTACTTTATCCTGTAAGATTCCAAGGCAATTTAAAGGAGTAATTTCACTTCCTGTTAAAACGCAATTAACTCTGTGAAGAAGCTGAGAGGGCGACTTAAATAGCTCTGCCTCTGAATAAAACCCTAAGTAATTCCTTGCCCAGTAAAAAATGTGAGCTCAGATTGAGGGTAATCACTGAAATCTTACCCGTGCAGAAGTCCAACACCATATAGAGATAAATATTACTGCATTTAAAAGTTACAGCACATCAGCATACTCTCATCCGAAAAAGCTACCCATCTCTGACAGCACATGAGCCCTGAGCACACACTGAACTACTGGTTTGTTAAAATCTGACAGATAGTACTTCAATGAAAGTATGCAAGTAAGAAAAACATAATTTAAAAAAAAAAAAGAGACGAAGACAATTTGGATACAGATTTATTCAAAGGCAGAATGGTCAGGGCGGCTGATACCATCATGTCAGCAAACCACTGACACAAAGGCTGCTGCACAGCTGACCTACAGTCTTACCAGTACCATGACCATGAATGTTCTGCCTTTGTCCCTGTGGATTCCACTTCTTTCTCCTACTTGTAGTCAGATTTGGTTTGCCTTGCATGTATGCAGTGAAGACAGAATAGCCCGTAAGAGCGATCTAACTATTCTGGAAACTCCTTAGCTAGCACAGGGAAGGTTAAAATTTTTAAAACTTAAGGTATAACGCAAGCATTAAGTTGTGTGTTAACATGAATTGAGTTTGTGCTGTTTCTGGGTTTACCAGTACACTCCAAGCCATCTCCCCCTTATCTGGCACATCAAATAAAAATGGTCAAAACAAGACCCGCTGCTTTCTCCCATTAGACCACAAGGTCTGCAGCAAAATGTTGTGGGAAAATTAATCACACAAACTCCTGTGCACAATTTGTTAAATACTGCATATTCGGATTCTCACCTTGCAATGCAAGCCTCTTTTACTCTTCGAAAACTGTTAACTGATAAAGATCTGATTCCAATGACACCTAGACTACAAACAAAATCATAGTTTTGCACACTATGGCCTAAAAGGGACTTAAGAGGAAAATAGTCTTAAAAGCCCTATGGTCAAAGATGCACGGGAGCTAGTTACCTAAACTGTTAAGCGCTTTCGCAGACCTATCTGCAAACTTGCTGAAAAATTTGACAGAATCCTCAGGCTTTTTTTTTTTTTTTTTAACGTTCTCCAGGACTTGCAAAAGAAAACAACACTGGGAAAATAAAGTAATAATCCAGTGATGGCTGTATTGTATTTTAAGCACTGATGCAAAAAACCCCCAACTTTTCAGCACAAAGAAAGTGCTTGGAGCAACCTCTAATCTCAACTGCTAAAAACTACTACAGAAAGGCATCAGATTCAGAATCTCAAATTCAGTGCTTCCAACTGTATTGCCATGGAGAATTTTATAAAGAAGAGAGAAGCCTCTGTAACTTTATAAAGCTGACATAGAAAAGACTGAAGAGTGTTGAAAACAGTAAGAAATAATTACAAACAAAAATGTGTCTTGTGCTGATTATTGACGTATTTCTTAATCCTTTATACAATCAAAACACATTAACTTAAACCATGCAACTAAAAACCTTGAATAAAACGACCTAACTTCATAAGTATCCTGGAGAAAAACTGACAACCCAGTGCTCAGCAGCTCACCTCTGCAGTCATAACTCCTGTTTGAAACTGGTTACTATCAAGAATAAATTCAAGAGACAAAAGACACAGTGCCAGAAAAGACTTCAAACTGCACAAACACTACATATTGCAAGCTACAATAGCTCCTAAGACTTCTGTATGAAATGTTTATACTTAATTCAAAACCAGGAAATGAAGACCAAGATCTCTAGGAGCCGGGATCACACTGCTAATTAACACCAGTTTACTGGTTAGCAGACAAACAGACACTAATAAAAAGAATCATAGTAATGGGGTGTATTTAATCCAAGCAAAGGCATGTTCTAAGCGACTGCCTTAGTCCACTCCCCCTCAGATAACATGATCAGAACACGTGAAGTAGGTTTCCACATGCAGTTCTACATGCAATGGCAGGTGGTTACCCACTCAGTCTTCCTCATCCTGAACACTACAAAACTTCAAGCCACAGTAGCGTGCAAACCCAGAATTTAGTCCATGAAGCTTTGGCAGCTAAACTCACTGAGCAAAAACCACGTTTCACCTAATGTTTGAGACTTCTGGGCAGCAGGGGGAGTATTTGGCTCAGAACTACACTCAAAATGAAGAAAACTAAGAATTTTAAGCACTGCACATAGCATTCCAAAGATATCAGCCAACAGACTCCTGAACCAGAAAAAAAACCCAAACAATTCAGCAATATTATGCAACAGTTCAGTGCCAAATGACTGCTTAGTCTCAACTCCAGTACTGCAATACACACCACAAAATCCAGTGGGTTAGATATCAGTAAGAAAATCTGTAAATGTTTTAAAAAGCAGTGCATTTTCATTATAAGCTGGCAAAAAGTGAAAGGTGCACACAAGGGAAAAAGAAGAGCATTAAGATATACAGTGACAGAAAAAACAGTTGAACATCCCAGAACGAAGAATCCTGCTGGAAATTTTTTTCATAAACTTTTTAAATTTGATGGTGTGAAGACTGACGCACCTAAGCTTACGCTAACTGCCTTTGCAAAAGATGACAGGTAAAACCACCTTCAGACAGGAAGCCAAGTTTCTTCCTGTTGTTTAATCAACAATTTCTAAAATGAGAATGCTGCTTTCTTCTTCACTGAAATAATGCCACAGGATTTGTGGAAGGATAAACACAGAGAGACGAACAAACAAAATGGTTAAATGATACATCTTTAGAGCAACGTTTTGTGTGGCAGTAGCACACTCTATGGCATATTCTATGAGGGAGTGGGACAGCACATGAGGGAAAAAGTGTTTCATGCAGAAAGCACAAAGAGAGACTGCCAAAAGTGAGTGTGGGCTTCTCTTACACCAGTGAATGTAGGTGAAATCCCTCTTGCTTTATAAAAATTCCAAAGTGTCATCAGGGGAGGAAAAACAAAAGTAATGATTCTTGCCATACAGGTAGAACATATGAAAAAATGTGTAATAAAACCTCTTCTAC